GATATAATATTGATATTAATTTAAATAGAAGAATTATTAAATAAACTACATAATAATTATTAACCTAGTCTTTTCTCGTATTTCATCACCCTTTTCAAGTAATTGAAATGTCTCAAAGCTTAAATACATTTTAGACTTTGCTCTTCCAGTCAAAAGATATAAAATCACACGATGACCAAATTTATCTTGCATTATTGTTTTAAGCACGCCTGGTTTAACTATTTGCTAAGTGGAATAAAATTATTTAGAGAAAAATATAGAGTATAAATAAATTTTTAAACAATTTAGTTTTGTACTTACATCTATAATATACTTGGTGACCGATACAGTATCATCGACAACATCAAATGCTCTTAACAATACCAAGTATCCGTATTCTTCCTTACATATCTTTGCAGCATATTCTTTCATGGATTTCAGCATAGTTTTACGATCCTACGTGAAAAGAATATAAATAACAATTTTGAAGAATAGTAAACTTTAGAAAACAAATTACCTTTACAGCGCCGTGCGAAAAACATAGCATTGCAACTTGTGAACCCTCCCGAGTATGTAAAAACATGGAAACTTGTTCACTAATCATTTCTATTACTTCTCTTATCTTGGAATCGTCCGCATAGGTAAAATATTCTAACAGAATTCGATGCATAATTATGTAATTCAATGATTCTGGCTTTTTTATTAGATATTGAATAGCTTGAAAAAGGTTTTTAAGAACTTTGTCTTTATTAGAAGGATCTTCAGCAATCAAATCTTTAATATTTAGATTTTCAGTTCTCTAAACAAACAAAAGTAAGATGAGAACAAGTGAAAAATTTTTTTAAATGAATATATAAAAAAGATTTTTTATTTTTATTTTTTTTTTATTATACCTTGAATAGAGTGAATTCCGGACCATAAAATTCTTCTAATAAGGACGATCGTTGCTTTACATTAGAAAGCTCATAAGCTTCAAGAAGAACATTACGTGCCTCCGTATGAATAAATAATTTTTTAACTTGGCCTTTAAATTCAGTTAAAATTTTACTCCGGTATTCTGGACTAAAAAAAACATAATTAGTTACATGAAACTTTAAAGATAAGTCATTAAATATTAAGAGAAAAAAGGCTTACCAAAAGTT